CTTTTTTTTTTTTTTTTTTACAAATACGATGTAATTTTTAGATGGAGATAAATGGTTTGTAGCAAAATCAGATTTGGACCTCCACTTATTCCCTGCATTCTCGAAGAATGGAATTCATAAGTGTGACGAAGAAAAAAAAGTGAAATTGAATGGTACTGAATTAATTGTGACAAACGTTTCTTTGATTGCATTCAATAACGATATTTCCTCGCGTAAAGGTAAATTAATAACTATGATGTATTATCCTCTATAATAAATACGATAAAAGTCAGTTGCATCATGTTCGACGAGAAAAAATTAAAAATTTAGACGGATAAGATATATTTGTGGATTTGCAGAAGTGACAAACTGCATAAATCCCGAAAAAGACGGGGCCAATAATAAAACTTTCCCTTACATCGCAAAATGGAAGAATAACACAATTTGTGGATTGTTAAGAATGTCAGTTACCGTACAGATGTCGTATATGACAAAGGATTTTAAGGTAAAAGAAATCGAAATGTAAAATATTGTTTTAAATTAAAATGTTTGTACATATATTTGGATCTATCTAAAAATTAATCTTTCATTTCCAGATGAAAAATGTAAATATAACAGTTCCAACCAGAACTAATGTCATAGAATCTTGCACAACTGACACATTTGACATAGAATTAGTTTGGAGCTCGAAAGATGAGCCGAATAAAAATTCAATTATATTTCATTTTTCCAAAATAGAGAAAAATTTACTTCGCTACGTAATAATTAACATTTTTATGGATAAAGAAAATTTTCCGAATGCTACAAGTATGCGTTTAAATTTTATATATATATATATATATAATTAAACACAAATAAATCTGTTTTTATCCTCATGCATTATCGTTAACACGATAAAAATATTAGATACAGGTAAAAATACATCAGCGTTGAAACTTGCTAATATGTTCCCCACACCCGTAAATGGAATTTATAGTTGCACGGAAGAAATCGTAATAACGACAGGAAACGACATTAACGTTACAATAAGCGATACTCTGTTGATCCCATTCGATGTGGAAAATAATTTAGTGTCGAGAAAAGGTAAAATATTTCTATTATTATTGGTTAAATTAAATATGAGAATTGGAGAGTGAAGGAGAAAAATTTTTGTTTTTCAGTGGCTGATTGTAAAATTAATATTTCCGAATTTGACTTTAATTACATTGTACGAAACGAAGAAAAAATACCTTGCATTTTGGCGAACATGAACATATCAATTGATACGAGTAATTCGAAAGTAAGATCGTAAAATCACGAATTATAATATAAATTTGTTTCGTTGCTGCTACAACGATATCAATTCTAACGATAAATACATTTTTATCGTAGAATAAGAATAAAGATGTGATAATAGTTCCACTCGAAGCTAAGGTAAATGGCAGTTGCGACACTAAGAGGTCTCAAATAGAACTGATGTGGACAAAATCGAAGGAAGAGAATTTGACGAATAATATTATATTTTATATCGCTCGTAATAAAACTGATTTCTTTGTTTATCAAATAGAGGTCAATATTTACGCGGGTACGTTCAAAAAATGACTTTTAACATCAAGATTTTCACTATTATTTTTTACTATTATTTATAATCATAATCAATTTAGATAAGATACACAAGATGTCAGACTTTGGTCTCGATTTATTTTCAACGTCCGGAATTTACAATTGCACCGATCAGAATTGGCAGATAAAGCTTGACGATATCGCGATTAACATAAACAACGTCCTTTTCACCGCATTCAATACCGATGAATATTTGAATTCGAAAACAGGTAACGTCAATATTTTATAATTAATTTTTTTATCTCTCCGACGAATATTCTTATTTCTCGCAATTAGAAGAATAAAAAAAAAAATATGCCTTTTAATTCTCTGAACAGTGACAGACTGTTCGAGAAGTCAAGATTCCATCACATCGCCGATCGCATCGAGCACAACTGAAACGACAACCGACCAATCATCGTCTATGCTTGAACCTGATCCTTACGTGAACGAGTATAATTACGTTGTGATAAACGAGAAAACGCACGTGGCTTGTATCGCAGCGAACATGACAATTTTTATGAAAATACCTTACGTGACGAAACAATCTAAAGTATGTATATTTTTCGAACAATCTTTACCTTACTTTCTACGGCATATATCATTCCCTCATCTCTTTCGAATTAATCTTGATCCTGTTTTAGACGAACGAAACGATTTTAACGATACCGGTGAATAGCACGGTAACCGGAAGTTGCGGGAGCACGAATTCGACGATGGAATTAACTTGGTTTGAAAAGTCAGAATCGTACAACGTGTACAAGAACGAGAAAAATAACTCGTTTAAGATTAATTTTCAAAAAGACGAATCAAATTATTTGCTCCATTCGATCGAGTTGAACATTTACATGGATAAAACAAATTTTCCCAATTCTGATGGTAAGAGTTTTTTTTGTTTGCCAATTTATAAAAAAAAATTTGTATTTTGGGGAAGGGATAAAATAATTATTATTATTATTTCTTTTTTTTTAATTCAGAAGAGAGATACACCGCTGTCGAAAATATCGATATGATTTCCGCTCCTTTGAACAATCTCTACAAATGCGGTGACAATACCTCTGTAAAAGTGAAAGACGTCGACGTGATTGTTGCTAACGTTACACTGATCGCGTTCAACACCGAGAAGAAGATCGCTACGAAGTCGGGTAAAGATCATCGATCATCGACGTTTTATTAAATTTCAATCGCTACGTAGAAACTTTTGTCCATAATTCAGATTTTGATTTTTTTTTTTTGTTTTTCTTTTTTTTCAGTAATGTGTATTCAGGATACAAGTCCTAACATTGGATTAATAATAGGATGTATCATCGGAGCTATTATGATCCTCGGTATATCTGCGTTGTTGATGTATCTATATTTCAGAGAATGTTTCTCATGTTCTATTTTTTCGAGATCACGATAATATGAGTTTTTTTTTTTTTTTTCTTTTTTTTGAAAGTGACATAAGTCCATTTTTGGAAAAAATAAGTTAATTGGAAGTTTTAATCAGGATATAGATCCTCTTTTTATATATTTATAATCGTATACAGTGAATGGTATATCCTCATAAATTGATAAAAAAAAAAAAAGAAAAGTAGTAAAATGTTAAGTAAGTATTTTTGTTGAAAGTGGAATAAATCTAATTCGTAATAATGATGAGATCGAGAAATAAGATTGAAATATGAATAAGTCTGTCGTTATTAATTATCCAACGAATTTACTTTTAATAATTTTGTTTATTTATACAAATTCGTTATAACATATACAAATGAAATTATTTTTTAATAAACTCGATTACTGAATGCCGTTTACTTACGTTAGAAGTCTTTATTTTTTTACATTAAAAAAATACATTTCGATAAAAGCAAACTTCAATTAAGATATAAATTAAAAATTATCTAATTTATATTCTTCATAATACGTTATTATCGAAAGTGGTATAAATCCTATTTGTTCTAAAAAAGTCGTTTATTTTCTTTAACACTTTTTATCAATTATTATTACTCAATAAAATTTAACAAGTTTATAGTTCAAATCCTTAAATATCTCAACGTACGAATAAATAAATTTATATCATTTTCAAGAACAACTTATATATTAAAATATAGATATATTTGAACGAAATATATTCCTTACACATGGTGGTGGGAAAGTGGCCGTATATTCGTTAATTATCCCATTTTAGGGAACAATTCGATGCTTCGACCACCCTTCGTGCTTCCGTCACGGTTACGCCCACCCCCTCCCCATTATTGTTTATCTTCCACATTCTAATATGCGTTACGTCGTGCGTGTGAATCCGATAGTCCATTTCAATGCAAAATCGCAAAAAATTGCTCGATCGAATTTAATGCAGTTGGGAACGGAATTAATTAAACAGAACATTTTATTATTTCATTATATCTTATGTATCGTCCCTCGATATCCTCCATACGTAAAAAAGGTTAGTAGATGGATATATACATATATATATATATATATAGATAAACGAAAAATTTCGTATTCGACGCAAACCCCAAGAGAATTTATTAAACCGGAAAGAGATCGTATTTCACATCGATTCCACGTTGAAGTAACATCAAATGCCGGATACTACCCCTTCGTTTGGATAGTTGGATATCGTATCGTGGATAACAGATGCCGCAATAAAATCCATGATAATCAGTTAATTCCTCTAAGGGGATGGATGTTTACGGCTACGTCGAATCGATCAAAATTTTTTATCATCCGTGAGAATTAATTAGAAAAATATTATTCTTGAAAATATATCATTGTGATTCGAGCAATTTACAAAAATATCGATAATCATTTTGATCATTGGTTTCCAACGATCTCAAAAATAATTAATTAATTAATTAATCACACTTCTTCTTCCAATATTCAATGAATTAATAGAAAGAATATTGAGTATATTTATAAATATTTTTCCTCTCCTCCTTCTGATCATAAAATTTTACTTTCAGCTTCAATTATCCGTTGCACTTTATACTCGTGAATCTTAAAATTAATTTAACAAGAGGATCACTCTCGACTTCCATTTCCAATACGAAACAAAACACCTTAGTAAATTTTTTACTACGAGTTAATCAAGAAAATCGAAGAAATCCGAACGCTTCCGTTCTCCCTTTTCCAAATTTTCCTAAAAATTTCTCGACCTCTGGCGAAATGTATAAAAATACAATTTCCAAAGGTGTTCAGAATTCACCATACCTGCTCGCCTTAAAACACGTCAGCTGTTCAAGGGTCTCTTTAAAGTTTAAAGGTCCTGGAAATCCTATTATACACCTCGTTCCTTGAGCCGGGTCGTCTTTTATTATGTCGTACGGATCGTAACCCATGGAAAAGCACCCACCTTTCGCCGGGACGGCAAGTTTCATGGGAAAATGGGGAGGTGGTACGATTTTTTCCAATTCTCTTCCTATTCCGGCAAGTGTTCCTTTCATACCGTACACTGCACGTCGATTATCGTCCAACCCTATTTACAATTTACACTTTACACTTTATTACACTTTAAATATGAAAATCATCATCCTTGAATCCCGAACACGAAATCTAAACGGTAACATAAATAATTTGCGCAATAGAGGAGCAGAGCACAATTCGCATAAACCAAGGAAATGTGAATAATACGAAGCTTATTCGATTGTAAGAAGATTAAGCTGATACGGAATGAAGAAAATTTGGCTCATACAATGGTCCAATTTGAATTTCTTATACTGTTACGCTCGACGCCGATAGACAGGATCCCAATATCGATAAATCTTGGAAGAAGGTCGAAAGGAGCGGGTACGCGTGCCACAAGGATCGGCCACGTGGCCACATCCTCCTTCCAAGAAACGATTTGTGTTTTAACCGAAACTGCTCTCCGTCTACTGGCTTCTCTTTCGTTCACAACCCGTGGAATCCTTCGGTTTTTCCTTTCGTGTATCCCGTCTGTGGACTGATCTTTCTTCCTTATGTAAAAAAAAAAAAAAAAAAAAAAGAAAGAAAGAAAGAGAAAGAAAAGGTTCCAATTTAATCCAAACGTCAAAGGATAGATTGAAGATCTGTCCTCTTCTGTTTCGTTTCTTCGAATCGAAATCGAAGTTTCGTAATCGATCTCGATGAACTGTTGCGAGTTCATATATATTCGAATTTGGCTAGAAGAGAAGAGGAAGAAGAAAAGGGAGAGAGAGAGGGAAGAGAAAAAAAAAGGAAACGCGAAACGACAGTTCAACCGACAGTTTTGAAAAACTTCCACAGGCTTCCTGGCTTTCTTCCTCCTCCCTTTTTTTCCCTTTTCGTCTGGAAGAGCAGCATCGGCCGCAAGACGTTTTGGAAGTATGAGGGCGCAGATGGGATTGTGTTTAATGAAGTTTGGCCCGAGTTGCACCTGCCACTTTCGAGGCATCTCGGACCGGCGGCCGTTACATTGCCTCGAGCACAATTTAAGAAATTGGCGGGAACCCCGTTTCCCATCCCTCCTTCTCCCAGATTCGATCCTCCTCGATATATCTCCGATTCTACCTTTCTCGTGTTTTAAATTCCCCCCCCTCCCTCTTCTTTTTCTTTCGATCGAAATGTTCGATCGAGCCTCGATCGAGATCCACCTTCCACGAGATGGAATTAATTGTAATTTGTATTCTTTATATTCGTATAAACAACGTGAAACAAACGATAACGGATTAAAATCGATTATCCGATCGAGAAAAGGAAAAAAAAACAGAAAAGGAAAGGACCGGTCAAACTCGTCCGGATTCGATTTCTTTGATCTCAATCGAACGACTACCTACTCGACGTGTAGCCTTTTCTAACCATCGGACGGATGTGTCCTTCCTGCTTCCTGTTGGACCTAGAGGAAACCTGCATCTTTTCGCGGAGATCGGCGGAAGTTCGGCCGATCAGTTAATCGCTCCCAACATCTGTTCATCTGTTCTCGATGACTTCACCTTCGCTATCGTAACGAGAAATACGCGAGATGGATTTGCAAAAGAAGAAAATAAGCGTATTTTTCGGAAGGAAAAAGAAAACTTGTTCTCGATGGTTTCACTTTCGTGACAAGAAATACGCGAGATAGATGCAAAAGAAGAAAATAAGCGTATTTTTCGGAAGAAAAAAGAAAGGAAAACTTGTTCTCGATGGTTTCACCTTTATGACGAGAAATATACGAGATAAATTTGCAAAAGAAGAAAATAAGAATATTTTTCGGAAGGAAAACGAAAGGTTTCACCTTTGTGACAAGAAATACGTGATTTGTAAAAGAAGAAAATAAGCATATTTTTCGGAAGAAAAAAGAAAGGAAAACTTGTTCTCGATGGTTTTATCTTTGTAACGAGATGGATTTGCAAAAATTTGCAAAAGAAGAAAATAAGCGTATTTTTCGGAAGGAAAAAGAAAACTTATTCTCGATTGTTTCACCTTCGTGACAAGAAATATACGAGATAAATTTGCAAAAAAAAAAAAAAAATAAGTTTATTTTTCGAAAGGAAAAAGAAAGGAAAAGTTGTTCTCGATGGTTTCACCTTCGTAACGAGAAATACGCGAGATAAAAATTTACAAAAGAAAAAAGATAAGCGTTGTCGAGTTTCGAATCGAGTCGAAGATTCAGCGTGTTCAACATTGTACGTACAAGGTTAATCGGCTCGAGTTTCCTTTCTTCCCTTATTCGCGCGTCGCGTGACGCTTAGGACGCTGGTTCTCGAGGATGGCAGGATGCCTCGAGGGCTGCCATCCGTCAAGCAAACGTGAAAGCTTGCGCTCCTGTTTGCGGCGATTTAATTACCCCCGGCATCTGGCGATCCTGCTTCCCTCTTCCAGCTTCCCTTCTTTCTCCTCCGTCTCCGTCCACCCACGAGCCCCCAAACCGCTAACATAACCGCAGCCTTTAAAAAAAAAGAACCTATCCTAACAGATACGACGTTCAACAAA